AAAATGACATATAACATAATGATAAAATTCCGCTTTATAAAAAATTTTTGACTTTGAAAATACCAATTTATAGAATTTACTCTCGGAACAATTGTTAAATTGACCGTATATCCAAAGCACTATCTGGTATCCACAATGAGAGCTGAGTGTTACTTCACAAAATAGATATGCAGGTTCAAGCATGGATAGAAAATAACTTCACGAAAATTTTGGTGCTTGTGTAGCTTTCATGCTTTAAAGTAATATCCGAGTCATTCTAAGAAAACTCCTCGATTCAGAATCAATGTTAACCTTTCTAAACATTACTACGGGTGTGCACAGCTCACACTGACATTTGTTTGTACATGACGGTTTGGTATTCGTATCTACAAAAGCGCAGATGTTCTCTAATTTCTATGGCATTACCTTGCTGAGGTATATCATTATATCAGATTTTGTGCTAAGTAACTCCGAGAATATTATGCTCATCTTCAGGTAATGAATCTATTCCAGTTATAAACAACGAAAGTGTACATTTGGAGATAAACTCATGAGCCGTTACAAATAGTGACATTTATTTCAGACAGGCACAGGCATTTTTGGTTCTCCACGCGAACACATTTGCTCATCAAACTACTGTCATATGACCAAAACCGAGGTGCGCCTATTGTTTCAAATTGGGATGCAGAAACTTCCTTTCTCTAAGAGGACACTAAAGGGGAGACTGTAGAAAAGATAGACACGCTGAAAGTTATTGGGAGATCTTGTATGGCTCTTCATAAACATAAGGTTGATGCAGGGACCGAGATTTGATGGATGTTATTAAGAAAATGATTCCCACGACTTATCTCTTTTCCAAGTGACTTTTTGGCTGATGTAGGCACCAGATTTAGCGTTCTGCGATTGTTACAGGGATCAAAGCAGAAAGTTTTGAGGATCGTCCCACATTCTTGCTTCAGCTAAGTATAAGAGTTTGGGATAATGTAACTCTATCTGGGCCATGTTAAGTGTTGAAAGGAAGGAGGATTTGTGGCATCAGCATATAGATTTTTAGAATTGCTTGACAGAGCTTGATACAAACTCTTTCCAGTACCATTTTTCTATCAGATTTAGGGAGGAGGAAGTTTCTGTGTCTCAAGTAGTAGCAATTTGCTTCTTCAAATTATAATTTTAGTCCTACTCGGAGGAGTTCCCTCCTGATGTTCTAACGGTGTACAATTGTGGAGACATCAGCGAATTTGACTTTGATTTACGATTGAAGAACACTATAAATTTTCCTGGACTCTATGCGAATGGATGCTACCGAATACAGTACCAACCAAAAGAAAGTGTCACAGATTGTGTTTGTTCTAAGGTAAATTAAATGTATTGTGGCCTTTTAAAAACAGGCGGTTCTCACTCTTCTTTTAGAATCATTGTAACACCGCATTACCAATCGTTCAGACAGGACCAGTTCGATGTTACATTTCACATGGTGCAAAGAATGAAAGCGTTGTAAGTTTAAGCCAAAACACTTTTGTTTAGTTTTATGACAAAGCTCGCAGTGAAAGATACAACAACTGTGCTGAGATGATGCATTCGACTAGAAAAAGGGCAGTGAGACGCAAAAAGGAGGCGCTATATTTTGCGATGAATGCAAATGAAAGCGAACTTACGTGATGTTTTCTGAGTATGCAGCGATAGACTAGAAAGCCGAAAGTTCTTAAAATCTCTCAGTCTGACCTCAATATATTTTATGCACTTGTATATCTACGCTGCATTTGCTAAGATCTGTATTTGAAAAATTCATTGTACCATTTCTTGATTTTGTGAATGTACTTCAACATTTACAATGAAATAAGTTCGAGATTCCCGGATTAACACATGTTCGAAAGAGTTTTAGTAATATGTCAAACAAAAATGTAATCTAAAAACGATTGAATTTTTAATGCAAGTGCTGAGCGGTCGAACACCCACCGCCCGACCTTGCAAGCGCTTTCGTGCCGCAATCAGCTATTTGTCAGTTTTCATACGAGACGGCGGCGTTGAGGGATGTACCGCCTGTATCTGTGCGTCCATAACAATTGACGCTTCGCAATTCCAATGTCCCATGGCATTATAGCATAGTTCATTTCAGCTTCAGCTCTCTTGACTGTTTCCAAGCCCAGAGCCTACTTGCTTTTATCGAATATCTGCGTTACTGTACGTCCCTCAATGCCGCTGTTTCATGCAAAAACGCTTGCAACGCCGAGCGCCGCGTTCGACCCTTCAGCACTTTGAAATGGAAATCTGAAAGTTGCAGTTCAAAAAGTCAAGTTTTTCTTGAAAAATACAGAAAATTAGTTAAAATTTAGTTTCAGAAAAGGGTTTTAAACATTTGTTCTGACAAATTCGCAAGGGTCATTGCGTAAAGTAAATTGACTTTCTACTAATAATAAGAAAAGTTACATAAATCAAAAAACCACATGAATAGGGTACCTCACTTATATTTCTATTGCTGTTCCAATCCTTCCTTTTATTTATATAATTGTTCTATCAATGATCATTAAGTATATCCATTTTTTTTTATTCTGATACCTTCTTCAGAATTTTTTTTCAAACTTCTCCAATAGAGTGAGAAATTTTTGCTCATACGATTTGCATCGATGTTCAACCATTATTGAGTTGACTACACTATTTAGCAAGATTGCACTATAGTATAGATCAATCTTCTGAATTGTAATGCTTGAGTCAAATTGTGAAGCCAAATAACAGGTCAGTCACAGATAAATCTGGTACCTTCCGACAAAAATCAATATTAAGTCGAATGATGTGAAACATAAAATCTCAATCTTCAATAAGAATTGTTAATTTTTCTATGAATGAAATTGCAGAATGTCAAGCAAAAAGAGGATTAAAGCTTGAGAGATGTGCACTACTCGTATTACTTTGTGGATAATTTAATTATGGTTGTAATGCTTTTAGAGTCTCGTGCAGACATGATAACTACCCGCCCAAGAAGTGAAAAAATGATGAACAAAAGTGAATGCATATCATTCCTCTGTTGCAGGTAGCATCCACTAAGAAAATTTCCTATTTGTAGGGGAACACGAAAAAAAACGCGCAGTTGCGTTCGTTGTGTTCTATTAAATATCAAGCGCAGATAATGAATGTATACTCTGAAAGGCGCCCAGAAAACTCTGGCTCAACTAGCTAATCTATCGCTCCATCAAATCGAGGTGCAGACTGTTTGTGGTCGCTTCCGCATCTCCTGTGTGCGCAGTGTATGTTTTAAATAAAAGTACAATTTGAAGCAAATTGAACAACCATATAATTTGAGAAAAATATTAGTTGTGGGCTCACCACACAAGAAAGACATTTTGCTAGTTTACTTTTTGTACGTTTCATACCAGTGATTAAGCGCAGAGATTTTGTTATTATGGTGATTTTGAGTATGATAACTGACACTCACAAATTTAACTGCTTCTATGATTTGCTGTCCGAACATTTCGCTTAGGCTGCTGGAAATCAATAAGCGAAGTGTAAGTGTGTAGTGAAGCGAACACATTCAATGTACATAAGCCACTTCTGCGTAGCTTTCATAACGGCAAGTATTGACTTCATTGGATTAACAAAGGTTAATTTTGAGGGCTGAGCTTTTCTTCTCACAAAAAAAACCAAATTTCAACGCTTA